CCTGTCCCAGAAATGGGACTTTTTTTTTTTTTTTTTTTTTTTTTTTGCTTCTACGGCTTTTTAAAAAATTGGTAGATCATACATAGTTGTACATATTTTGGGGGTACATGTGATATTTTGATACTTGCATACTATGTATAATGATCAAATCAGGGTAATTGGGTGAACAAAATATTCTTTCATGTTGTGAACTGTTTTTTAGGGGTCCGTACGTGTATCTGATTTTTTTTTTGTTTTTTTGCTTACCAAAACATTTGTTAAAGTCTAAAATTATCAAGCAAGAACTTCATTAAGATGGGTCCATTTCTTCTAGGGTTCTCCAACCTCCTTCTCCCCCAAAAACCTTAAATGATCTTACATCATCAGATTCTGGTTTGTAAATCTGAAAAGATTAATAAATCTGATAGTTAAAAAGAAAGGAAAATGTTGATCTGGAAAACGACATTTGAGCCTCACTCTATGGCCAAGTAAAACGCAGACAAATTCAGACATTACCAGAATCACGTGATTCGTGGAGAAAGAGGGAGTAATTTATGAAGTAACAAAACAAACATGAAGAAATGTTCACCATTGTCAGTAATGCAAGAAACACAATTTAAGGCAACCTGAGCTTACCTTATTCTTGCTAAGCAGCAAAATGTTTTTTTTTAAAATAATGCTTGGTGCTGATGAATTTGCGTCTAAATTGATAGCCCCTTTGGAAATTATTGTCGCAGTAAATCATAAGAACCATAAAGATGTTTTGGCCTTTGCTCCAGCAATTCCATTCTTAGAAATTTATCCTAAGGAGGTAAATCAACAGGAGTAGAAAGATTAATGGATAAAAATGGTCACTGTATTAGACAAACAATAAAAGGGAGGGGAAAGAAGACAATCCTAAAATGCCCACCATTAAGGGACTGGCATGTCAACACAATGGCTTTAGCCTTAAAAATTATAACTGCGAAGCTAGCAAAATAAAAGATCATATTGCTGCTGCATTTACCATATGTAAAAATACCACCCCACATGGAAAGGGATAGCACAAACAAAAAAACTGACCGTAATTAGGTGTATTTATTATTTCTTTAAAAAAAAAAAATCAGTCACTATACCTAATTTTTCCCAAAAGATTGCAATGTGTGCATTCTCAAAGGGCCCCATACCTTGAGGACACTGCACTTTTCTGTCGTTGTTTTTATTATGTTTTATTTGTATTTATAGAGATGAAGTCTCACTGTATCACCCAGGCTGGCCTCGGACTCCTGGGCACAAGCGAACCTCCTGCCTCAGCCTTTGGAGTAACTGGGACTATAAGTGCATGCCACCATGCCTGGCATGTGCTAATTTTACTGCTCTGCGGCATCTGTCCTAAAATTTTTAATTTTTGAGCCAGGTACCCCACATGTTCATTTTAGCACTGAGCTCCACAAACTATGTAGCCAGCCCTGAGTCTTACTGTAGAAGTACAAATTAAATAAAACCATTAAAAGATTAAAAATAGATGGAAAGCCATATGTAAAATATACTGTAATGCAACTTTGCTATATTTTGTTTTGCAAAGAGCTTTTAAGAACAAGGGCATGATTTTTTTTAGTGCTGTTTACCTAACATCTAGCCCCCCAAACTCTCCCTACGCTCTACTAATTTTAGAGTCAATTGATTGTGAAGGTTCCTGTCTTCAAGGGCAGTCTAAAGCACTCTTCTGTTTGTTTTTAAATGGTTCAGGGGGCCTTTGGGGTTTGCGTACAGCATCAATTATTTAGGAATCCAACTATCCCCAGTACCACCTCTTATTACTAATACTTGATAATGTCAATTAAAAAATTCCTCCCTTCTGCAGCCTGTCCCAGAAATGGGACTTTTTTTTTTTTAACTTGAATGGTTCTTTTACATATCAAAAGCCTTGCAACAGAAAGTAATTTGTATTTGCAAAGGCTCCCTTGTAAATATGATTTACGAACAACATTTCTCAATTGTTATCGGAGCAGTTTTGTGTGATCACCCTAGTACCCTTCGGGTGAACCGTGCGCTGGGCCATAATGAGAAAGTTGGCAGATCTCATCTCAGCCGCACACATCCCACTGGCCGCTACCAGCCGGGCCTCATGTTTTGCCTTGTTTACAGCTGACAGCGTTATTATTCTGATTGGGGCTCTGCTTTCTTATCATATTGTTGTGTTGAGCGAGCCTTTTCCTCTCCGTTTGTGTTTCCTGGCAGGGCTTTTCTTGCCTTATTGACAGTTTGTAAAAATATGCATTAATTTGGAGTTTCAAGCATGTATCATGGTGTCTCTTCACTGTGTTTGCTTGAAGTTGATTAATGATAGAACCTCGCTTGGGGTCGTCCTCTGGAGAGTTCTTTCACAGGTTCTGCATGTTAACTAGCAAAGCAGAACACACAGCAAGCCATGATTAGCCCAGCCTCCTGTGCTCAGTGGTCCCCGCAAACCACCATTGCATTGCAGATGCTTATTTCACATGGGTATTTGCAGACTGTATATATCCACCCAGGATGCCACTATGGAGCCTCTTACCTGGTCCTCTGAGTGTGGTCCCAGAACCAGCAGCAGCACCTGGGAGCTTGTTAGAGATGCAGAGTCTCAGGCCTCCCCCAGACCTGCTGCATCACACACTGCGTTTTAACGAGGTCCACAGGTGATCGGAGTGCACGTTAAAGTGTGAGAAATGCCACCGGGGAGGAGAGGCCCAGGTCTGTGCAGAGATGAGTCATTCTAAGGCAGCACTATCCAAAAGAACTTTCTGCGATGATGGATATGTTCTAGCTCTTTGCCGTCCATCAGGGTAGCCACTGGCCACGTGTGGCCTTTGAACACTTGAAATGTGGCCAGAGCAACTGCGAAACTGGGTTTTCAATTGTATTACGTTTTCACTCACGTTAATTTAAAGAGCCACATGTGGCTACTGTGTTGGACAGTGCCGTTCTGGAGTGTGGGTTTATGTTGCCCCAAAACACTGAGTTGCTGTGGGCTGGAAAGTGCCCTCGCTGAACCTTTGCTTGTTTTTCCAGGCATCCTGTACACGTCAAAGAAGAGCCCCTCGATCCAGAGGAAGCTGAAGGGCCTCTGTCCTTAGTGACAACAGCCAACCACAGTCCAGATTTTGACCATGACAGAGATTACGAAGACGAACCAGTAAATGAGGACATGGAGTGAATGTCTGGGCGGGCCAACCCTGAAAACGAAGATTGGAAAAAGAAAAAAAAAAAAAAAAGTCAAAAGTTAGCAGTGAAATTGTTCTCCATTTGTTGTACAGTCTGGAGGATTTTCACTACATTTTGACAACTCTGAAATGTGTTAACTCTTAGTGCCATCAAGAATCCCATTTGGGAGTATTTTTGATTTTTCTACTTTTTGTTGAAAAAAGGAATTTGTACTCTGTGCATTGGATGGACTTGTTTGGTACTTGGGATTTTCCTCTCTTAACAGTCAACATCAGTGTTGTAAATTTGCTAAACTGATTCACTTTTAGCAGCAGACTTTGAACTGCAGTCCTGCCAACGTTGGACACTGAGGACACCCGACAGAGCTTGTGCACCTAAGCTGCAGACCAAGCCTTTGCCCAGAATTTAAGGATTCCAATGGACGACCTATTTGCACAGTACTGCATGTTGATTATCACTGCCTTTACTCCTTTTTTTTTTTTTTTTTTTTTTTTGCTTCCAGTTGGGATGGGGAAGGCCTTTGTGTGTGTATTGGGGGGGAGGGGTTAAAAATAATTATCCCAAACTTTTTAATGTATTGCTTTTTTTTTTTTCTTCTACTATACCATTTTAAGTTCTGACCTCAGGCCTCCATTTGGGCCCATGGCCTCTTGGAGGCTTAAAGTTTTCTGTACCTTGTGATGAATGTTAATAGGTGTTTTTATTATACAAAGCTGAATGTCATTTCTCGTTTGTAGCTTTCTGTCACTCATTCCATTTTCCTTCAGACATCACCACGTTTCTCTAAAGTCAGAAAACATTCCGTTTTGGTCTTTTTCAAAAAGGTCCCAAATGCTGCACTCTACACATGAAGGTCCTCTCACACAGACGTGACGTCCTGCCAGAAAGAGAATGAATGACAGAAAAAAAAATAGACACACTCTCTAGGAACAATGCCGATTCATTCCATGAAGCAGTATTGGGGGTGGTCAGGGGGCTGTTTCAGATTTTCCTCTTTCTTTTGCAGCAACCATCATTCTTAATAAATGCCACAGCTTTCTACCAGCACAAGGAAACATAGGCAGCACCAAAAAAAAAAAAATCTCATAAGTAGACTGACAATATGGTCATGGAAGGCTCTCCCTTGTGTAACCAAGTTGCCATGGGCTCTCTGTTATAACCAGTGTGGGTTGCTTTGTTTGCAAAATGGCCCCAAAAACCGGCTTCCCTGAGCAACTCTGCTGAAAATGGTGGCGGCAGTTACGCTGAGTTTGTACATCAGTTCAGACCTGCTTGGTGGCATTAATCTGTTTGTGAATTAGATTTCAGATTGAACTTGTTATGGGAGTTAATGAGGACTGAGTTCAGCAAATGCTAAAGTGTTAATTTCAAATGTGCAAATTCGATACTGCAGTTCAGTTTGTTATGCAATATGAGCACACCGACCCAGAATCAAAAACTAACAGGAGAAGAAAGACATGAGGTGGGCTGGGCTCATCCCAGCCCTGGGCTTTTGGGAACCAAATATGGCATGCAGACGGTGATGGTTCTAGGTTGGCACAACCTCAGTCCTTAGAACCCCTCGACACTTCCACTCTGCACCCCCTTCCCTGTCATTTATTTATCTAGGACTGTAGCTTTTGTTTTAGTTCGAGAGCCTTTCGAAGCTTAACTTATATTCTTTGTACCTTTTTTCCCAAAAATTACCAAAGATATTACACAAAGGTAAATTATGTTCTGTTTTATGCTTTATCTGATGAAGCCAAATATCCTCTTATTGTTGATCAAAGGAGGCAAAAGAATTTAGAGGCAAATGACAAGATTATAGGCTATTGCTTACCTGAGAAAGAGAACTGCTCCTTCAATATAGAGTAAATTTAGAAGACCAAGTAGGTAATGGAACCAAAGTTGTTACTTTTTTCTAGTAGTTTTTTTCTTCTTTTCCCTATACCTCTACAGAGACCAAAACTCATTCTTACAAAGAGAAATTATGGGGCTCCTGCAGATAAAAATAGGACACAGTATTAAGGCAGCAACAGAAGGAAGAGAGTCCCATCTCAAAGAAAAAAAAAATGAATGCCACTGAAAATTAGTGTAGTCAATAAAGGAGACAGTTAAGTGTCAGAACAGAAAAGCTTCCACAATTGAACTAGACCACATAATAGTATTTCTAGAATTAAAAAAAAAAATTTAGAAAGATTGTATGCCACTTTTGTTCAAGGACTGTGCTACGATCGCTGCATTGATTTTAGTTTATCTTGGCATATATCTTCCAGTTTGTTTTTGGTTTTGTTTCGTTTCGTTTAGGCTTTGGTCAGCATTTTTCATTTAAAAAAAGTAACACTCCCGTCCACTCATGAGCTTGGTACAAAAACTACTTTGGCAGTTACTTTTGAAGCTTCACTCTGCTTTCTGTATAAAGGGCAGTCTGTGGTCACTCAAGACTTCTTTTAGAAAAAAAAAAAAAAAAAAACTTTTCCAGGCAGCTTCATGATGTACAGGCAGTAGCCAGACAGGTCAGGGGAAGGGGGCCCTGTGCTTCTAAACTGAGTGGTTGCTGGTTAGTTTGGTATTCAAAAGAGGATAAAAATCTGGTAGATTAGTTCATTCTCAGCATGTGTAGCTAGACATGAGTAAAGATAACAGCATGAGAAACTGTTAGTACGCATACCTCAGTTCAAACCTTTAGGGAATGATTAAAATAAAAAAATACATTTCACTCAGTTGCACTTAGTTGTATGTCTTGCATGCTTAGTCTAAAGACTGTAGCAAAAAAAAAAAAAAAAAAGAAAAATTAGATTTTACATATCTTTGCAGGTATCACAGCCTTGCAGAAGAACCAACTGAAAAAAAAAATTCTCAGGCTTTACAGCAAGCAAACTTCACTATGATTTTTACAATTCTGATTCTGTATCCCTTGGGGGTATTCCAGTCGCTTCTTTAGGATGGGGTTTATTATGTTGTACATATATCCCAATGTGTCTGTGTGGATCTTTGTCTTTTTTGGGGGAGGGCGGAGGGCGGTTCTTTTTTTAGATACTGTTCCTAAAAAGGAATAAATGCATACACCTGTTTGTCAAAACACCTTTGCTTTTTGTGCAACTGCTTTATATTAACTCTACTAAAAAAATAGCTTTGGGGGAAAAAAAAAACTACTGTATGTAATGGAATTGCAGAATATGCTGCACATGTATTTTATTCAGTTATCCTTGCTTTAAGAATATTGGATGACATTTCCTGACATGTGGGAGGGAGAAACTCCCTAATTTTTTTTTTTTTTTTTTTTTTGCCTTTAAATTGTAACATAGTTGACAAGATTTTTTTTTTTCTGTTCTCATTGATCGGAGCATTTTGTACAGGTATTTTTGTGTGTGTGCGCGCGTGCGTGTGTTAATCTGTTTTTTGATACATTCCTATCCCTTGTGTTTATCCTACCACTGCCTTCCTGGCTATCTTAAACAAGTTCATACATTTGAAAAGAAAAAAAAATGTTGTTTAAAAAATGTTTTCTCCTGCTGCAGTAAATATTTTGCATGATGAAATTCCAGGGTCACACTTTTCAAAGTTTTATCAGTGAAATAGTGATTCATAATGGGGAGTGTCAAAACTATTGAACTTTTGTATAAAAAAAAAACTTTTACAAGGTGCCAAGATGTAAGGACAATTTGTTACTTTTTCTTTTTTTTCTCCTCAAAGAAAAGCGTACATTAGGGAGGTTGTCCTGTGTATCAGACAAATGCACTGTCAGGAATGAGGATCCACCCTCCTGGTTGTCCCTGGAGTCTGTCCCTGTAAGAGGAGTTAGGCTGCCACACTGGACCAGCAGCAAAATGGAACATCAAGGCTTACGTATGTACGTGAAGAGTGACCTCCAGCCCTGCCACCTTCAGACAGCTCTAACTTTATTCCCGGCATTCTGTCCAGCCCCAGTAAAGAAAACCTTAGATTCTTAACCCAATATATGATGTATTAATTAATTACATTACTAGCTTTTTTATCATGAAAAAAACAGTTAAAAAATAATTCCTTTCCTTTTCACATTCCAGTTGAGCTCCGTTTCCAAGGGCACAGAGAAGAGTGTGTTTGTAAGGATTTTGAAGCTTTTTGGTACCTTTTGGTTAACGGCATACCTTCCTGATATTTTGGGTGTTTTCAAAGTCAGTTTTGCTTTTTTTATCCTGAGAATCAGATTTACAATCCTAAAGGCGTTTGTTGGGCCACCCATAATCCTTGATGAAGATGGTACAGTCCGGACTGTGAGCATGGTGCTTCGTGTTTATGTGCTGCCAGTAACAAGAATTTTTTTTTTGTTTTGTTTTGTTTTGATAAGGCATAAAAGAAACTCATTCCTTGACATCAACTGTAATTCCATCATTCCATGTCTGTGGATACAGACAATAAAAAAAATGTTGTGTAGTCAGTACTAATTACTGACGTTATAGCATTCTCAAATGCAATAAAAATGCTGGTTGTTCACACTGGTAGTGAAAGTCGCCACAGCCTAAGTTTCTTTCCCCTCCTGACCTGCTGATATTGTATGTTAGGCATCTGCCTCCGGTTTATCGCCAGCTGCTTCCAATGCAGAATTAAAATCAATCTTAACTAAAAGCTTTCATCATCAGAGAGAGCGGAAGCTCTTATCTTCAGGATTTCCAAGCGAAAAGTATCCACTTAGAGAATTGGGAAGGGGGAAAAAGTGAGAAATGCTATCTTTTCTCTTGAAGAAGCACACCCTTATTTTTCTTTATCAAATTTTGTAAAGAAAAACAAAATGTTTAATATCTAGCATTAAGAGCAAACTAAAATTTCAGAGGAAAGCAATTTCATGAATAATTCATTAAAATTTCACATCTGCAAGATTAGTCATCCAAATAAAATGCTAATGTCAAAAACATGCACCGTCTATAATATTCTCATCAAGAAATCTTTTTGCATATAATGATAAATGCTTAGATTAGAACAAATGATTTTGTAAAAATATTCTATCAAAAGTATGCTAGATAACTGTATTCAGTGAAGAAAAACAGAACTCCGGTACCTAAATATTCCAGAAAAACCATCTTGATTTTGAGATTTTTTTTCTCTTTACAATTGCATACCTTTAGAAAAATTTGCTATTTCTCTTTAATGTTATTCTATCGTATATATTCTAGGGATTAATGAATTCGAGCATCATTGTTCAGTCAAAATTAGATCGCCAGTATACCGAAAGCAGTATTTTAAGTGGCCAAACCATGGTAACATAAAACCGTTACATATATAATTCAGAGCACATAATGCAAGCCAAGAGATGACTTTAAAATTAACCCAGCAGTCTTTATGCCACGAAACACTCACTGCTATTGAGGAACGTGTGTAAACATTCTTTCCTAGCATTGTCTTGAAAAGCTCGTATTAGGAAAGTTTTATGTTTTGTTTTTTTACAAATAGCTTTTGCTACTAAGTTGCAAACGAGGGTCCTCTTTTCATTAACAATTATGCCACATCTAGAAACCCTCTGCTCCGATAATTAGTAAAACATTTGAACCCTTAATTCTCACCCGGCTACTAAGAATGCAGTATTAGGGTTAATTGAAAGTCCTTTAATTGCCAGCTTAAACATAAATACTGCTTACAGCATATACAGTTGGTAAAATTAAGAAGGAACATTATTTCTTTTTTTAATAAACTGAAGTACCCAAACCAAGTATTAGGATACTTTAGTGAAGATTTTGCTAGTTTTGCACAGTACATTTTTAATTGTACTTCAGGAATTGTTCTCAAGCAGGAACACTCTTATGTGTATTCCAAGCTTGTCGTTCAGATAAACAAGACAGCAAACCCAAAATATTGGCTCTTCTTTAAAATGGGGGCCTTTATGTAAAGAACATAAAAGTCTTAATACTAACTTCACACCAACACAGGCAGCTTCGTAACAGTAGCAACCTTCTCCCTCCCCCCAAGAAAAGATAAAAACAAAGTATAATTAGTCTTATTAGATTTTGTCTTCTTTGATGATAATGCATATTTATGTGTAGGGTAGTAATCACAATTTATCTTTCATCTTCATTGTAGTTGAATCAAATAAAAGTATCCTTTATTCAAATAAAGTGAAGTTGGGTCTCAAACCTTCATTTAAGGAATTGACTGATGAAAGATTTAAAACAAAATTCACATTGGAGGGAAATTAAATTACATATAAAAAAACTGGTTTAACTATATTGTCCCATAGTTTGGGACAACTATATTGTCCCATAGTTTCTAATTTGGATTAGAAAACCATCATTCTAGATATAACCTACTTGTATTTATTTTTAAACAGTATTTTATTTAAAAAAGAAAAATCAAAACCCTATGTTGTCTTACTTCCAGTTTGATTATAAAATGACATTTATTGCTTAATACCAAAATATATTCATTTGAAATTATCAATGGTCCCCCTTTTTTTTTTATTTTTGGCTTATATTGAAAATATAGGGAAGGAAAAAGACAAGCTTTAAGTTATAATGTTAATTTGAAGGTAACCGGCCTTTCAAGAATTAATTTCAGCCAAAGCAATAATCATTATTTACCAGCGTGTGACATTTTTATCACTCATCATATTAGCAAATTTCCATTGAAAATGCTTAAAATGGTTCCTCATAAGGCAGATAACTGCTCTAGCTGTAAAAGTGACCAACACAAGTGCCAGTACTCAAACATTAAATTATACTGTAATTAATAAAGACAGTTAAACTGTCTACTAGCAACAGCAATTTAGGTAACCACATTTGATCGGCTATAAATTGTAACTACATTAAAATTCCAGAAATATTAGCAATATGGATTACTTGATGGAAGTCAGTGCTGATCACCAACTCTCATTTTTTTTTTCTTTTTTAAACAACGGAAGCTCAGGTCATGTTGACCACAAATCTGTGGGCGAAGATCAGGCCTTAGCACTTTTAATCTTGTGAAACAAGCAATTACAAATAGTTGCATCGATTTGTTAAAAAGCTTTAGGTGACATAAATTGTTTCCTGTTTAGCTTATTGCTCTGATACATAAATGTCACCAAGTCCAGTATTAATTAGGGCCATAGAACAACACAGGGTGGCTAGGATGGCTTCCAATCAAGAATTTGTCAGTCCTTTGTGAACGTGCTCAATGGCTGCTCTTGCTGGCTCATTTCTCATTAGTGACAGAGAGAGGAAAGGAAAACTATTTTGTTACGTGAAGTCTTTAATACTCGCTTAATTTTGGGTTCTGAACTAAATCTCAGGATTTCAGACTCACTTTCTTGCCATTTGACATAAAATACCACATTTTTAAAATATCTTCTAAATAGAATAATATTTACAAGGCATTTCGGCCCCTGAAAAGCTAACACTTTCTCCCTTCTCAATATATGATACTGTACGTGTTTCCTTGGGCTTATATTTCTACACTTAAAATACAATTTTAAATGGCTTTTGCATGCTATTGACTTAACATAAATCAAATG